AAAGCTAACAAAAAAAAAAAACTTTCACGACATCCTTTATCACAATTTCCATTTCTGATGCTGTTGTAAAAAAGAACAAAATATGTCATTTAAGTTGAAGTGAACATTTTCATTTTGACACTGCTCACCATAGACATATTTCTGTAGTAGTAAGAATCATTTTAGAGAGTACAGTCAATTTATCTACACCACGGTATGAAATCTGAATTATTCTCTTCGTTATGAGTTTTTATCCTGCTACATCTGTAGTGAAATTACTGTAATAATTTTGATTTCTAATATTGCACTCTATTCTTTCGAATTGTATATTACCCCCTGTTAATGCGAACAATGGAAATGCTGTCAGTATCACAATATATCATGCGTATCAGTTATGAAATGAAGCCTTTAATTTCAAAGATTTGTGACTTTCCCTTTTCATAAGCATAGCTAATTCTTAGTTATAAGTAGGTACAAAATCAGTCAGTAAATTAAAAAGCTGATAATTAAAGCTTCGTACAACAAATCAGTCGCAGATAAAGCCAAAACTTTGTCGAGTATAATCAGCTAACTGCCAGCTAAACTTGTAAAGACATCTATAATTAACCACTGCGATAAAAGTGAGATTAGATTTGGAGGACTCACCAATATGCGAAAAGATATATGACCGTACCTGCAAGTAATTTAGCTATTTCAATTGTGTTTACTAGATTTGCAACTGAGAATTTCACATCTATGAAATTTAATTTTTTGAAACATGAACAATGCCCACTTAATGCCCACTCATTAATAAATCAGCACAGTAACAAAGATCTTAATCCTAACAGTTTAATCACCCTTCTCGGAGATGCTATGATTTGTGTTACTTACTGAAATGCCGCATTCAACGATCTATAGTTGCTCATTAAAGAAAAGCAAAAAAATGAATGATAAAATATTATTAGTTAATATTCTTACGCAGTATGATTAGAAAAAAAATTGATTAAGACCAAATTTACCTTTCCTAATGAGCTCTGAAGAGGATATATTATGAGTCAAACAATCAGAAAACATTAAACAGCGAATGGTATAAGAAAGCAAATATGATATTTTTGAAAATCACTAACTAAGGTTGTCCAATTAATATCCAGATTGACACAAAAGAAGTTAGATCCAAAGTTATATCAATGGCCAAAAAAAGTTAACTGATCGCAAATGCAATTTATGAATCAAACATGGATTCATCCATATAAAATTGCATCAACTGTTCAATACGCTATTAAACTATGAGCGATAAGGTCTCATATATGAATGGATCTTCAGTTTGGCATTGTTTCTCCTTCAACTCAGCTCATAATTAGTTAAATTAAACAAACGACATGTTCAATTAAGAAGTTTCAATAACTTTTAAATATACCATACAATATACAATAATAGTAAGCACTGGTGCCAAAAACATTTTGCACAGTGCTTTCAAAAATATAAACTTCAAAGATAAAAAATATATAAACGTAAAAGATGAAGCAACATATCATCAAAATAAGGAAATCACCGTCACTATACTGTATCATCATCGGAAAAGTAGAAATTTAAGCAAATTTCATTAAATCGCCATAGCGGGCGAAAAAAAACATTGAGAACGTTCCTAAAGCTAAGCCCGTAGTTTGCAGCGAAAGAACAAAAAACGCATCAAGATAACCATTTTCCAGCGCTTCTTCCATGGTAGATTTCATCTCGGGCATCTGTAATTTTCACTTTTATTTAAATGCAACTTCTAAACGATTTATTTAAAAAAACATGTGTAATGGAAAGTCAATATAAATGAATTTCGCACCATACACGAAAGGGCAATGTATAGGAACATGCCACCCGAAAAACCGAAAATGTATCGTAAAAGTGATTCGACACTACCCAGAACAACACCGATAATGAATCCTACGAAGCAGGTAATCGTACTAAGTAGATTATAAAATAAAGCTTGCTTCTGGTTCATACCAGCATTCAACAAAATTGCCACATCACCTGAATAATGAAACGTTTATAACTCATTCCTTGAGGCAAAGCATTTCAAAATTGTGATAATATTTGTCAATTTCAAACAAAGCTGTTTAGCCAACAACTTGAGGATGTTGAGTACTACCTACCGCTACCACATGAACAGACACTAATGCTTGTCTTTGAGAAATCAGCATATATTTGTGGCAAATGTAGTGCGTTTTTAGAGGTAATCCAGGAACGAATCTGAAACAGTTCTGTCATCTATGCCACAAATGTCTGTAGTTTTCTTAAATACAAGTAATAGTGACCGCTTTTTTGAGTCTGTGAAATAGGGAATGAGCCTAAAAGGCAGCTAATAATGGGTGCAATTATATTTCAATAAAATAAATTGCGCTAAAAAAATCACTATAAGTAAATAAACTGAAACAATAGTGCTTCAATCATTTGTACTAATTTTCTTTTTTTTTTAAATTTTCTTCTTTATTGTTAAATAAAATAACCTAATTCATGTGGGAACTCTTCGGCAAATACTGACATACTAACGCTCAAACCACTTAATAGTGATTCACTAAAAGCAGCACCAATACTGACTCCATCGATAAAATTATGCAAGCCATCTCCAAACACAATCATCCATGCGACCGTTTTTATTGCTGAATCTTTCATTTGATTAAACGTTATTTTATGGTCATGAACACAGATACCATGAGCCTGAAAGATCAATCTCAGTTACTGTTAATATAAGATTGTAAAAACACTCGATTACACCATTCCTCTGAAGTACATTAATCTTTTTGCTACTGACATTTTGCAAAAATTATCATTTCATTATCAGCAATTAAAAGCCAATCATTTCTGAAAGTCTTGGTTAGAAAAAGTCAATGTAACTAAAATTAATAAAAAAGAAATTTTTAATACCTGTCTTGACATATCGAGACTAGGACGGATCGTGCCGTCAATCTCGCCTCTTTGTTTCCGCAATGATGTTCTTTTTTTGTATTTTCTTATTTTTTCCAATGTTGAAAAGGCATCGGGTTTGAGATTACCTGTACATAATAGCACTCTATTATTTACAGGTAATCTCATTATTTACAGGTAATCTCATTTAAGATGTCGTAATGACTTACTAATAACTCAAATTCTTTTGATAATTTCTACTCCATATTTCACATTTCTTACAGAAATTCTTGAAAATACTCATCTTACGTCAAAACTTCACACCCAGTTTCACTACGAAGACGAAGCTGATCAATAACCACAACAAAACAACGAAAGCATATACCGTTTTCAGTGATTAAAGCATCTGTTGAATGGATCGAAACAACTCCAGCTTCCGTGTGTATATGATTTCCAGCACTGTTCAACATTTCAATTTCATTCATCTAAATAACATAAGAGGAATCGTAAAATATGGTACAAAGAACAAAAAGAGCTGTGTAAAGAGAGATGGTTATTTAAAAAACTGTTTCATAGGTATGCAAGTGAACGTATCTACATCTCATTCATACAAAATTTAACATACCCTGAGCAACAAAGAAAATAATGAAAAGACCTTTTTTGACTCAAGAGTGATTTTGATGAATTTATCACAGAAGAAAAAGATGTATATACCAAATATACAAAACATCATAACCATGATAAAATCATAATTTTCGCCATCAACGACTCCTAAGCCCTGGAATGAGAGTAAGGGCAATGGAAATATTTGAAAAAGCACCGTAATATATAAAAAAAGACTATTCTAATCCATTGCAACAGTAAGATCACTAGATCGTATATGCATCTCATAGCATCAGAAATCAGTTTATACACATATACTCATGTGTTTTAACAAAATTTTAGTAAGATATAGGTCTGTAAAAAAAATAGATCTCATTATTGTAAAAAAAAAAGATTTGCAAATGCACTAAAAAATCTAGCGCTTGTACCTTCCACCAAATAAAAAATTTTTATTTGCAGGAAAATCAGTGGATTAAGTAATACTGTATTTGTGGAAAGCCATACCTAAAGTTAAATTCGATGTAAAAAAGTTGTGCCTACTACATCCGTCAAAAAATTTAATAGCAGTGTGATAATCAAATCCTAGAGAATATAAAATTTCGGCCACGGATTTCACAATCAAATGCTCTATACTTTCAGTAAATTCAAATTCAGCTGGCTTTTGATTTAACTTAGCAATTGCATAATATAATAAAAATAGTATGTCATCCACCAGTTGCTCGGTGTCAAATTAGTGTACGAATAATAGCCGTAAAAATCTAAACTATATATGGTTAGGATCACTTAAAACATAAAGTTTTAATATAATGTTACTGATAAAAAACAGGTAATGCTACCTAAAACCGAAAACACGGCTGTTACCTGCTTCATATACTGATATTTCAGCTTAATAAATAGAGATTTTTTATTGTGGTTTTTTGAATGTTTAATATTGTACTTATATCTTGAAACTTGGATTTTATTATTTTCTCAATTTTATACTTGAATCTATAGAATAAATCTTCTAAACAATATTTAAGATTTACTGTGGACTGCGGATCTTTATCTAACAACATTTTTACTTGTTTGTAAAACTAAGTTTATTATAATTGAAATTAATCGTTATGTCTGAATTCTGTCATTTATGATATTACTAATCTAACAAGAGATTGAAAAGCCACATTTCATTTATTTGGAAAGTGTATTTTCCTTTAATTCACATCTGAATTTACAACTGTTTTGCATCATCAATGTCCACTACTTCCTATTTGGTTGAAGTTATTATCATAAGGACTATTATAAGGACAAAATTATTTAAAAACTTCATCGTTGTTTGCAAATACCTTTTTGCTTGAAAAAAAAAGAACACAAATATTACTATTTAACATTGTGAAAATCAAAACTGTGATGGGGAAAGTTTCACCTGCGGTAGCAAATGCAAAGTAGATGAAGTTATAAGTGAACCAACTCCGACAGCTACAAGAATCGTGATAAAGTGGTTGTATGTTTGTTTGCTAAGTTTCTTGACGAATAGAATTCCAACAGCAGCACATAAGCTAATTACTGTAACGCAAGTCAAACCAACAGTCCATACTAAAAAAGAAAGTTTCACTGATCTTCGACGAGGTTGTTCTGCTGATTACTGCTTATAAGGCATGCACTGTCATAGCTTTGCTTTTCAACATTGAGAATGAAATTTGAACTGCCACAAAAGACTAATTGTGGTGAAGATAACTTACTAATAAAATTAGAAGGACGAATGTGACGCGGCGGATCCGGTACCACTACTGCCGATTTAATTGTTTTCATCCAATTCGTGCAGAATTTGCTCATATCATCAGAAGAGAAATTAGCTGCTTGGAGAGTGCTTGTACTAGGTGGCCATTCGAACTCTTCCATAATCACCTTACTTGAACTGTACGAATCTTCCCAATTCCTTTTGCTTGCTACAAAATCCCAACAACATTGGGATTTTATATAATACACTGATATTAGAAAAGCATTCCGGAAGCTAAATAACAAACATAATTTTCGGTATTTTACCATCTAATATACTTTAGGATTCAGGACTATAGGCAGCGCATGTAGGCTTATCAAAACTACATTCAACATCGTATAAAAAAAATGTGCGAAAACAAACTATCCAGATATGTCACAATTTCTTTTTCAAAATGAGAGTTGAAATGTTTGCAGAAAATATAACCTACATAAACTCTTCCGCCAAACCTGTTAACACAATTTTACTTGATTTTACTAAATAATTACTAATAATTGCAAAATGGTAATTCGACTCGAAATGTAAAAAAATCCCTTTATTAAAATAATTCGAGATTGAAGCAAGATAATAAAACTTCATCTAAATGTCAACAACGCATAACAATATAAATAACATGAATGAAATTTGTTTTTTTTTAAACTAAGTAATGAGAAAAATATTCGAGGGATTTTGCCAGAAAGTAAAAAGCAGTCCTTCACTCATTTTTTGTTCCAGAATTCCAATGATTGATCGCAATCAGTGCTTTCTTTAACAAGAATAGTGTTAGGAAATAACTTAAAGCATCACAAAAACTTTAACATCCCAAATCCGCCTCTTTCCATTTTGCTACTAAACTGATTCACTCACAAACAAATTTGCAAAGATGACTGTATACTGATAAATCTCCAATTACAAAATCCGATTCGAAGTCTCATCCTAAAAACACAACAGTACCTGGAAGACAAAGCACGCTAAAACATATTTCTGCAGGGGTGTTTGGATCAGCGACAATGAACACCATAGTGAATCAGACGGATTATTTGACTACTGATATCAGGATATCTATACATAGCAGAAGATCCTGCAACTATTGGAGATGAGCCGACCTTCTGGGTTGAAGGGCTAGCTGATACAACGATAGTGTATAGCACGTGGTATAACATAAGCATCACATTCTCGAAGATACCACCTTATACTACATACTTCACATATGACTTGTCACTTATCTATTAAAACAAAATTTTATTAATAGTGAAAAATCATAAATCGGAATCTATCGTTTAAAGAGGTAGGAACGGCAGAAAAAGGGAATGATTAGGGCTTGATGTGTTTTAGCAATACGTTAAGCAAAACAAGTCGTCATTTCTAGAGTATGAAGGAGATTGGCGAATTCTAAAAAAAAGTTTAACGAGAATGAAGTATCTTATATGAATGAACACAAACAATGCTTATGTCAAACGGGCTATGACATCACCCTCACTATGAAAAGCATTGAATAGCATCAACTGAAGTATAGGTGCACGAAAATTTTTTAAAAAAGCATGAGATGTGGGTAGCGGTATAGATGAGATAGAAGATCGATAGAATATCAGTCTCGCTGGGTGATAGTTACCCACCGATGACACCGAGAAAGAACTCCAGGCCTGTTATACAATCTTGAACAGCTGTTCTTTTCTTCCTCCTCTTGTTTACTCCTCTTTCTTAGCTTACTTTTAAGCAAAAATCTCACCAGGAAAAGACATATGCAACCCTCATCCAGCCTAAAAAATGAAGAGGCAAAGAAAGTATATTAAAATGGAAGTAGGTCCAACCAAGTTGTTCAGCCTACTAAAGTTCAAAAGCTTTTCCTATCACTACCATCACCATACTACCACACCATTATCACCATCATCCCATTAACACTCCCGTCATCGCCCTGAAAAGCCTACACAAACGTAAACCTTCAAAAATCATTATCACTTATCCTGTGCAACTATGACGAGAACTTTCACTACCTCTCAATCGAGACGTAATGAAACAGATATCGTGAGATTTAAGTGGTAGCTTGCCGAATCTTGTCTAATAATAGCTTGCTCTTTTGGGATGGTAATAACATAGAATGATCATCAACGATAATTTGTAAGCTAACGAGACAAATATAATGTTTATTAATCCGGAAAAATCATAGAAATCACTGTTTTTTTCATACAACGGAACCCTCACTCCGCAAAAAGTCACTGTTATGACTCAATTAATGAGATAAGTGACAGCTTTTGGAAGGAATCTTAATTTAATATGTGCTAGACATTAAATTAATATTGATTAGATATAAATATACTGATGGATATTTGTTTTTAGAAGATGAATATAAAAATGGAATTTTTTTTTCGTTATTATTTTTATCGTTTTTTTCAATTTAAGCAGAATGGATCAAAAATAAACAAGAATATAGCAGTCATATAACATATTAGCAAATGAAAATTGTTCGATGCATGTATCAGCCTGAATCTTTGGTTATAGTGATGTGTAGCACAACCAAGGTGAATATAAACGTATTATTCATTAGGAATACGGTCTTTCAATCATTCAATTTAGTCAAACCAAATGGAAGAAATGTTAGTCGGCTTGTTTATAAATGCCAATGAGAAACCATTCTGATAATTATGTTACAGTTTAAATTTCAACTTCAACAGCTTAATTATCATCCGATAGTAAAGGAATTAGAAATCTGAAAATAAGCTTTTAAGGTTGAAACAATAATATAGAAGTACTATTACTTAGGGCTGCTTCATTTCGAAATGTAAGATGTTCCCACATAATAAATCGGTATTATCGAAGAGCATATCCTACAAATGAAAAATTCAGATAAAAGTTAGGTCAGAAATTGAAGTCAAAAAAGGAAAAAAATGAAGCAAATATTACAGGTGGACGTGTTCGCTAATTTTTCTTTGAAATCACAAGTGTTGGTAAATCATGTGGTAACATCAATAGTAATAAAGCTCATGGACAGGTTAGTTTAAACGCACTCATTAAATATAAGTCAAATAATCAATTAATCAACTAATTTATTGTAGAATAAAATTGGATTTAGAAAGATTTTATTTTTGATCTAACTCAAGGCTGGAGTTCAATTTCAATTTCCAACTGAAGTTTATAATTTTCCAATTTTCACGTCTCGTGTTATTTGATTAAACTAACTTCTACTTATTGTTACTAAATTTTTGATACACTGAACATGTCTCAAGGGAATTTAAAGACCATTGTTTTGGGTTAGACCTTTTCTAATTTAAGTTAGCAAATTAGATAACATTTCTGTGACAGAAATCCTAGTGTTCAGTAATGTGAACAGAATTGCATTGAAATTACTCATCGGTTACTGGCACTGTCTTTCATATTATTGCTATTCGTCGACAGATTTACACACTTCTAAGAAAATACTGAGTAGAAATTTCAAAGTAAAGTATAGGCATAACATTTCGGAAGGCTAAATTAAAATTTAATTAATTGATACAAGTCAAAATTTCAATGTTACTAGTAAACAGTGTAAATTGCATAGTGCACTGATCCTATGATAAGCTCTTGGAACTTTCAAGCTACGTTTATAAAAAACTTAAATATTCTATGTCATTCACTAAACTTAAATATTATATGCCATAAGGAGTTCTTGCCGAAGCCCTCCGAAGCAATTTATCAACAAATTGATTTCAATGAATCACATTTTGCAGCCTAGAAAAAGTAAGATTTCTTAGAGGCGTTAGATATTGAGAAACTGCAGAATGAACAATTTGAAAAACAAGAATGTAAATAACTGAAACAGTGTTTAGTGGCAGTAAAGGAATCATAAAAGATATTTTAAAAGATGGACGAAACATTCGTGCATTGTAGCGATAAACCATTCTTGTCAGAACGATTGCTTACATTTATGAATGTAATTTTGTTCCGAACTGTTAAATACAGAGTCTTATTTACGCTCCAATGATATTGACATAATCATTTGATATTGGATCTGACATTTGTCGCAAAAATGAATTATATACCGTTAAATAGTGACATCGAAAGTGATTTTCTGAACGCTTCACTGCAATTAGAATCATTTAAATTTCATTTTTTTTGTTCAAACATTAAAAATATCGGTTACATTACAAGTTACAGAAAGATTGATGAAACATGAGAACACGTATGTGCTAATATGCTGATTTTCGGCAATGTAATCTTAACTGCTTAGTATAATTATAGGAAATATGCTTCTGTAAAGCAAATTGTTCAATCCTCGTAATAATTTTTTGACTTACAATGAAGTAATATCTAAGATCATGTGACGAGCACCGCTGAAATTTGATTATGAGCCTCATTATCTCACAGATATTTTAAGCATTTATGAAAATTTCAATTTAATTAGAATGACTAATATGTGTGGTTAACCCTGCTTGATTTGGATCATACCACAATTCAATCAATCAGATGACCATGGTATGCTTGAATTAAGTCTTTTCAGTACGCAGATAATATCAGCAATGTCAATTATCTGTTAATATATATTAACGGTCTTTAACTTGCTTGAAACTTCTACAACATGCCTTTGTCATTCTTAACGAACTTCTTCAAGTTACGTTTTATAAAACTTACCGGTGCATCCCATTTTGATGCGAAAATTAAAATGTCCAGAGCAGCTACAAAATAGTTGAATGGGAGGATTTTAAAACAAAGGAAAAAAGTCGCGAAAGATATTCATAGCAAGACGATCGAAATAACAGATATCGATGATAAAGATCAGTAAACTGAATGTTAATAACTTTTGGTTCAAGAAGATCATAAGGAGGTGCAAACTAAGGGAAAAAATTAAGATTATGGTCCATCGTTTTCGGTGGGTGGTGTTTTTTGAATGACATCATGAAGTCTTTGTTTTTAATGGTGAAAACGATTATCGCATATCGCAGGTAAGAATTCTATATTTCCTTTTGTTCAAAAAGGAATACAGCTGGTAAATCAGTGTAGAAGGTTCAGACTGACAAAATGAATATGCAACATCAGGTTAAGCATACCGACTGGATTGTATTTGGTAACGATAAATGCGAATTCCTCACTAAGGAACTTCTTGCTCATTGCTTAGCAAATACCAGAACCAGAAAAATTGGATTTCAGATCCTCTAAGGTAGCAGAAAAG